TATGCCATGTGCCAACCCCTGCTGTGAAGGTTGGGAGGTTCTCTGGTGTCTTGTATAACTCCCCAGCTTCCTTTCATCAGAGGCCTTCTGGTTTCGTGCCTCATCATCTTTGCTGTTTATCCTCTCCCAGTGTTCAGTCCACAGTGAAATCGAATAGGCTGCAGTGGCCTCTGCCAAAGGCATGTCAAATCGGTGTCTCCCCCCCTTCTGGGCCCCCCCTTCCTCCGCAGTGGCAGATCCCTGCGGGGTGAGTGTGTCTTTGTATTTAACCCAATTCTAACCTTCTCTTCCTGGCGGTGGCAGAAAAACATGACATTCACTGACCTGCATTGCCTCCTGCTGGTCATTTGGTAGTACTACAACACATGGGCAGGAGAGTTTCCTCGCCCTGGCTTTGCTGTTGATTTCATGCTCTCCGAAAGAGGCTGCTTTCTCTGCAGTTTGAGTGGAATGTGATGTAATAATAGAGGGAGAAAATGGTTTGGCTGTCTTCATGGGCGATGGATCTAGGAGGGGAAGGAGGGCGTGGCTTCATTTTCAGAATGTTGTAACCGCCCAGCTGTTCATCTCGCACAGAGTCTAGGGGGAAAAAAGAGTTTTGTGGATATTGAAGCTGTCCTTTTCCAAAACAGTCGCTAGCCCACAAGATGGTGGGATTTTTTGTATGTGTCTGTTTTTAGTGCGCTAGCTTGAGCCTGCTCAAAGCCTCTGACAAAAGCAGGGCTTCAGCAGATTGACCACTCAGTCACTGGATGACTGTGTAGGGTGCCTTGTCACCTGAGATAGGGAAGGGCACCTTTTGCCAAAATATGGGAGCAAGGTGTCTCCCCCATCCAGACCAAAGGCTGCTTTTGTGCCTTAGTCCACACAGCCACCCCTTCTACTACATCAGTGCTTCCCAACCTTGGATAACCCAGATGTTCTTGAACTGCAACTCCCAGAAATCTTGGCCAGCAATATTGTATCTGGTGGTGGAAATTTCTGGGTGTTTTCGTCCAAGAACACTTGGGCTATCCACGGTTGGGAACCACTGATCTACATGATTCTGAATGTCTTCCCACCTGATATCTGCAGTTTTGGATTCAGGCTATATTGTTGGAAGCAAACAGAAAGAAGCAGTCCCAAGACAGAACATGGAAAAGTTGCTTTTTGAACTTCCTTCCTTCCCTCCCTCCCACTCCTGCCTTTTCTCACTTTTGTTTCACCTCCCCCGCTGTCTTCCCTAGATTGTCCTTCAACCTGACCCCTTCCTCAGTGGGTTTTCCCACCTCTGCCAGTGGGCTTGTCCCATGTTTCTCTATTGCTCTTCTCATTCCGCCTCACCTCTTTATCCCATAGGGGTGGTCCCTTTCCACTTGATCTGGGGCTTTCCCTTCTGAGCATCTAAGGGTCTCTCCTGTTTCTCTGTAGGGGAGGATGGCACTCCAGCCGGCATGGTATCGGACCGGCTATTCTCCTCAAAACAGCTCATACCTTGGAAGACAGAAACAAAATTCAAAAAGATCTTGATAGGCTTAAATACTGGGCTGAAAGCAAAAGAAAGAAATTTAACAGGAATACTGTACGTACAAAGTTCTACAAAAAATAACTCACATGCACATTTACAAGATGAGGGATACTTGGCTCAGTAATATATCTTCTGAGAAGGATCTTGGAATTGTTGTAGCTCACAAGTTGAATCTAGGCCAATAGTACAATGTTGCTGTATAAAAGGGAAATGCTATTTTAGGCCACATTAAAAGAAATATAGTTTCCAAATCACAAGCAGTACTAGTTCCCCTCTACATGGCATTGGTCAGGCCTCACCTTGAGCATTGTTTCCAGTTCTGGACACCACGCTTGAAGAAGGATGCCAACAAATCAGAACAAGTTCAGAGGAGGGCGACAAGGATGATCAGGGGGCTGGAAACCAAGCCTTATGAGGAAAGATTGAAAGAACTGGGCTTGTTTAGCCTTGAGAAAAGAAGACTGAGGGGAGAGATGATAGCCCTTTTCAAATACTTGAAGGGTAGTCAGACGGAGAAGGGGCTGGATCTGTTCTCCATCATCCCAGAGTGCAGGACGCACAACAGTGGGCTCAAGTTAAAGGAAGCCAGATTTACAGTGAACGAATAAGTTTATAATCAAGAAGTTATACACAAGAAACATACTTAGTATCCAAGTAATAAAAATAAAATACCCATTTAGTGCCCCAAAAACTTGAACAAAGAGTTATGTATTATAATTGCCAATATCATTGGATGCAAGTAAAGAGATGCCACCCTGGCTCTGAAGGTGGGGCCACCTAGAAGAAGGTCTCAGCAAACAGGATTTCAGATGGACTGCTATTTGCTATTCATACTATAAAAAGTATAAAAACCAGAAATGACCTCTTCTGGATAAAAGATAACAGCCATTGAAACTATCAGCTGAGTATGTTTCTTCCGCACAAACTTATTCTTTCACTGTAATAGATTGTATTATGTATTATTAGGTCTAGTGTGACAGCCTTAGAGATCTAGATTTGATGAAACTATCAGCTTTACACAATGGGTACCACCAAGTCAGGGCAGGGAGAGAAGCAAAGCTCACAAGAGTGTTTAAAACTGTTCCCTTTCAGTCTGTTATGAATCTCACACTCGGCCCCATCTGACAACAAATAACATCATCAACAACAATAAATACCCCTTTTTGATGCTGCAAAGCACTTTCTGAGACTGTGCCTCCTCTGTGGTAGGTCTTGGTACTGAAACTAATCTCCTCAGGGATAGCAGGCAGCCCAGTCTTAGAGGAAGATACATGTTAGTGGCCATTGGTAACCTTATTCTCTCAGGACTAGCATTGCCTGCAAAATGCCGATCAGGCAAGCATGATCTTTCTATACAGACTGAGTTCAGGCATCGCAACAAGCCATGATGTACTCGGTCTAGATCTGGTTTGTTCTGTTCAAACATAGTGCTGATAATGGGCCCTAGTTTGTTTCTTTGCCACAGAGCTCAGTCTTGTTGGTTTATAAACTTTGTCTTGTTGCTTTAGAACATGACTTACTGTGGTGTCTGTACCTAAAATTGTAGTTTGTTTCCCCAGCCACCCAGGTAAAATTGGAGCTGACAAAAGAGTTGAGTGAGGAAGACGTCAGAAATGTGGAGGGCCATCCCTGGTTTATTTGGTGGTCTGCCAAGCAATTTGTGGCTTAAGCCAAAAAAACAAAACAAACCCACCATGAATAAAAAGTATAAAAAGGCACACTGTAGCACATGAATACACCTACAATGTATTTACATTTATTTATATTATTTATATGCCACCTTTCTCTCCATAAGGGACCTGGCAGTTTACAACAGGTAAAACAAATTTAAAAGGGCTATATAAAAACATAGTTAAAAAACAAACAGATGTTAATATTTTAAAAATCAAGCTTAAAAGCAATTTTTTTAAATTTACAAATCTGTAAGTTAAGAACCAGCAATCCTGAGACACCTTACTGCTTAAACGTCTGCCTGAAGAGGAAGGGGTTCGCCTGAGGATGGAAGGACCAGAGGGAGAGGACCAACTAAAGCCTCGGGAGCAGCCACTGAGAAGGTCCTCTCTCATGTCCTCACCAAACAAGCTAGGGAAGGTGGTGGGACCGAGAGAAGGGCCTTCCTGGAAGATCTTAGAAGACTAATGGAGTCATATGGGGAGATACAATCCTTCAGATAACCCCAAGTTGAGGCTGGTTGGTTATGCTGGCCCACTCAAAAGACTTATTGCCAGCTGCTCGATCTAGAGCAGAGGAGAAGGTGGCAGCACCAGAAGTGCAGTGGGCAGAATATACTGCTTGGCTTTCATTAAGAAATAGCAGGTTAAAATCTCTCATCTAGATTTCAGAAGCTTGCCTAATAATATTGCTCCCTACCAGTTCCTGAGGAACATGCACCCTAGGGTAGGGGATCATTCTGGAGAATGCCAGCAACGAACAAAAGCCTACGGTGGCAGCCATTTTCAGTTCGGCAAATGTAGTGGCAGATGCACAAGATTATAACGTGCTCCATGCTTTAGCTTTCTGTTCTGTGCCATCACTTTACAAAGTTTGCTGTAGTAAATTGTGCAAATATTGCACACGGAGTTCTGGCGAGCTGACTTTGGTAAATTGTAACCACAGTCCAAGAGGTTCCTGGTTTAATGACCAGAAAGGTCTATGAAAGGAAAGACGTTTGCCTGAAGTGGTGGAGAGTTGCTGATAATGCTGGGCCCTGGGTGTTATACATGGTATAAGATAGCCCCTTGTCTGGATGGGGCAATAGTAGAGGGGGGCATGTCAACATATGTGTTCATAAACACATTTGGCTTAACCCCCCCAAAAAAATTTATTCCATAACAAATGTGATAACTAGAAGTAAAAATACCACAAGGTCAAGTTTCAACTGACTCCCCCAGTAATTTAGCAGCCTTGCTTAGCCCTCATCTACCCACTGCTGGTGTTTTTAAAAAAATGGAATATACACGTCCCTATATGCCTATGGTTTGGAAAAGGTGAATTTGTGTGCAGCTTCCTGATCAGCCAACATTTGCTCCAGAAAGGATCTGTGAAGGTTTTTGTTTGTTTCTTTGTTTTTATTTTATTTTATTTTATTAGATTTATACCCCGCCCATCTAGACAGATAGTCTACTCTGGGCGGCATAACAAAATTTAAAAACAATAAATTGTTTTGTTTACATTTCTTAAATTTATATACTGCCCTATTAGTGCCATGCACTATTCTGGGTGATTTACAGAAGTGAAAGCATGTAATAATCAAATATTAAATGAGCAAAACTTCAGGGGGCATAAATTGTAAAAAAAAAAAAATATCCCAACTTGTGCCCTTAGCAGCTACCTGCAGCGCCTCAGAAAAGATTGCTGTAGCCCATTTGCCTTAGATTCCACTTACTGTGTGGTACATAAAATCTCACTCCAGGCTTCCCCCCTTCCTTTGTGTGAGTACTGTATAAGAAATTCTTAATAAATTTTCCTTCCTGTGTTTTTGTTGCTTTTTCAGTCTTCGTGTCCAAATCCTCCCCAAAGAAGCCTCGTGGCCGGAATATCTTCAAGGCTCTTTTCTGTTGCCTTCGTGCGCAGGATGTCCGGCAGCCAGCCTTGGGTGGAGAGCATGGTCCTCATAAGGAAGAGACCAGCACCATTGCCAAGGTAAACAACTGCTGATGTCCAGAGAATTATCACCAGGGAGACCTGGAACAGTCGGAGTGTCTGGTCTGCAGATCCTTTCTCCGTTCAATCAGCCTGTACTTATAACCCATAAGATATAAATTCTGAGGCCTCAAGCCACTAAATTGTCTGTTACCGTGTGCATCAAGTGTTCCCTCTTGCTTGTGATGTTTCTCTCACTTGCATCTAACCCCCTTAACATTAAGCAACCAATCCCCTTGTGGATCTGATTGTTTCTCATAACCTCCATCAGTCCCTTTTTTAAAACCACTTAATTGGCCCTCTCTCAATCAATTAAAAATGGTCCAGCAAACTGATAGTGCTTTAAATTAGGAATATAACTTCTAGAGCTGTTTCACACATTATTGTTTTTTGTCAGGACAGGAGGAAGCAGTAGAAAACTCATGTTTAGAGCATAAAGATATGTATATTGTATATTTCACTGTTTGTATTTGAACTGGGTGGCTGTGATCAATCTGCATATTTATTTATTTTATTTTATTTAACTTGATGCTGCCCACCCTACCCGAAGGTCTCTTTTGTATTTAGAATACAATAAAAGGGCAAAATAAAAGGGCATTGTAGAACCTATCTTTTTTTCTATGTGAATATGTTAGTAGAAGAAAATATTTTGCATCTATTGTTGGGATTTATGCATCAAACTTTTAAACACATCTATTTAGCCAAGCGCTTTCCCTCAAAAAGTATACCCCTTAATCTTTTAAGACATGACCAGGGGAGAGGAGGTTGAAAATAGACCCAACATTGTATAATAAAGAAAAGTGGCCACATACAGAGCACCCTTCCCTGCAGTGCCAAAGTAGGTAGGCACAGAGCTCCTATGCAGAGCTGCACCAGGGAACCTCTCTAACGTTATGTACCATCCCCACTTCCCTCCATTGCATCCCAAACCCAGTGCAGCCTCTGTGTACCTGAACATGGTCATTTGCACTCGCCATTCTTTGTACACAGTAGTACTCTTTGGGCAGAAAATGTGTAATGTGTGAAACAGCCCCTAGAATTCTGTTCCTCAAAATTCGGTGGGTACATCCAGAGATTCACTGAGTTCCCTGATTGGCAGTATTACAGTATCATCTTTTTCATAATACCTACATCTTTGCTTTCCTCTTTTTTCCCCCTTTTAGTCTGATCTGTTGCAGTGTCTTCAATACCAGTTTTATCAGGTATGTTTTTCCTCTGAAACTGAGGAAGATCTGTGTCTTCATATTTAGCCGGGTCTGTGTTTACCTTCTGTCTGCATGTTCGTGCATACACCATTCTCCACTGAGGCCAACTTACATTTGTATCCTTCCACCAGAACAAGCAGAATCATATGTGCTCATTATTTGATTATTTTGTCTATATTACATGATATTGTCATGGTCTTTTCTTGCCATGAAAAATAGACAAGGATTTCTGCAAGTAGATCCCCACCCTGGTTGTGGAGGGTGTTTGCACAAATAATTCAATCTTTGCAAATACATTATCTTGAACTCAGAGCACTACCCCACTTCCTTTAATCTCTCTTTTATGACTAGTGACCACCAGACAGATGCTACATCATAGCCCATGTCAACATCCATGTCTGTTGGATGTCCATACTGGAAACTGTTCATATACAGTAAGGCATCTTGCCTTCTACATATTTTTATCTGTGGTACCCACCAATTTCCCTTCTGTATCAGAAATGTCTGTTCAGCTGACGTTGATCTTCAGTGTTTGTACAGGAGCAATCTCTGGCCTATATCTGTTAGTCCCAGTGGAAGTAGACCGTCTGAATCAATAGAAGGTAGGTTAATTTCTGTTGATTTAGTGGGCCTACATGAGTTGAGACTAACGGTTGAAATTAGGCATGTGGAAGGAAGACTTACAGGGAGAAATGGAGGCAGTAAAGGCTCAGCATTGAAGACAGGAGGGCCTGGCGTGCTCTGGTCCATGGGACCACGAAGACTCGGACACGACTAAACGACTAAACAACAACAAAGGCTCAGCATTAGGGTTTTTACTATGTACAAATGGAAAAAGAGTTTGTACTGAGGAATTTGTTAAGCATAGCAGTGTGATATGGGAATCCCAGAACAATGTTTGCTATCCCCTGTTTTTTTATCTTTCCATCTGTTAAAGTTCTGACATGCATTACCATCAAATGGTGCAAGAGACAATTAATAATAATAGCACAACTCCAATAAAATCTAGTATGCAATAAAGTACAGTGAAATGCAGTATTGTCAGCAGTACAATTCAAAGTTGAAAAAGCGTTAAAGGAAGGCAGGTGCCCACCTTGATCTTAGAATGTCCTGCCACAAGACTTTGTGATGGATGCTAGCACAGACACCTTTTAAATGGTTAGCGTTGGATAGCTCAGTGAATTAGGTTTCTACTGCAGAGCCAAATGCTGGGAGTTCAATTCCCCACTGTGCATCCCAGAAGAGCCAGCCTGTGTAGCTGTGGGCAAGTTGTACAGTCCCAGGGTGCCCCCGGAATAAAGGAATGACAAAACATTTCTGAGTCCTCTCTACCTAGATGGCCCTGAGAAGGATTGCCATAAGTCAGATGGAACTCGACAGCACACAAATATTGTTATTAGCATGTGCTACAATACTGGAATTAAGTCAGGTTTAAAATAACATGGAGTGGCCCTGCATTATAAACGATAAGCTTTCACTATTTAAAATCAACCCCTATAATTTACAGTTAAACCTTATTTGCCAGCCCAAAAAACCCACACCACAAGACCTGCACCAATCCTAGATTTATAACAAACAATTTTTCCCATGGAAGTTGTACAACTTTTGTGCCATTTTCAAAGATACAGGAACCCTCCCAGGATCCAGCTCATTCATCTCCCATTGTGGAGGGAAAGATCCATAAGGACTGGATTCTTAGGCCTTGTGGATGGACATGTAGACAGGTTTTCTGTTCTTGGTCATTTTACCTGTGCTGTCCTTGTCTGCACACAATAGTTGACTTACTAAAAGTAAGCCCATTGTGAAGGATAGAGTGCTGGTTTCCTTGGCACTTGAAGCTTATCTCATAAGGCTCTAGCAGTGCCGTTCATGGTGCATTGGTAGCTAAGTCTGCCTGTTGTCTTCTTCTAGATTCCTGGGACGTGCCTTCTCCCTGAGGTGACTCAGCAAGACCAGGGCCGAATCTGTGTGGTGATTGATCTGGATGAGACCTTAGTGCACAGCTCCTTCAAGGTGAAGCAAGAGGGGATGCTCTGTATTTTATTTGGTGACAGGGAGTGGAGGGGCAGGAGATGTCAGCCATGGATGCCCAGCATGCAGGCTGGTTGGGGGAAAGGTGGTGATGCTGTGCCTTCCCTCAGAACTAGCTTTCTAAGGCATTAAATCCACATTCTGTGACAAGCCCTGGATCTTTAAGGAAATGAAGGACGATATCCAACTGGTGTTCTTCCATCGATGGAAAGCATCCATCAGTAGGTCATGGAGATTTTTCTCTGACTTCCTTTTCCCCCTGGAGCAATCTTAGGCGACTCAAATTTGAAATGGATATTTTTCAGTGTTGGTATATACTCCAAGACCGATCTAAGGTTCTCTCACTCTCTCACTCTCCCCCTCCCCGGTGTAAGATGGGCTGCAGGGCAAAGAAGAAATAGTTAAAATTGTCCCACTTTGCTGATGGATGCCTTCCATCAGCAGGGATTCTTAACTGGATCCCACCTGGAGCTTTAAATGGTGACAGAGGTGTTGGATCAGATCTTGTGAAATGACAGAGTGAGACCAAGGGGAGGCATGGTCTGCCTGTTTATTTTGTCAACGATACAAAGAGGGTGTGTTGTGTTTACTTTGGTGGCTGAATAAAGTGGCCTGTTTCTTTGTGGCTTTTTCCATTTCTGTTTTTACACGAAATCTTCTGTACTTGAAAGATGGTTCTGAGGCTTACTCAGCTCCATCCTGCTCACTTTGTACAGTTTCTGCCACTAGAAGAAATGGTGGGTGTAGTGTTTTTGTCTCACTGTATTTGAACAGTAAATGTGAAGAAAGAGTAAGCAATTTGAATAGGAAAGAGAAGCAAGAGCAGAGTTGGGAATTGTGACTTTTTGGTGGCCTACTGCTTTCAGAACCAGAGGCCGTGATAGCTGTGTGGTTTTGAAAGCCGTATCCCAGAGTATGAGTGACTAAATGTTTATTTCTCTACTCAGTGGCTCACAACCTCAGGTAAGCCAGGTGTTCCCAAAAGTCTTCACCACCCACTGTGCTGGCCAGGGTTTCTGGGAATTACAGTCTAAGAACACCTGGGTTGCTTAAATAAATCACTGTTTCACTGGTTAGATTTATTTGTTGTCATTTAAAAATTGGACCAAATATATGGTTCTGCTGTAGAAACAGTTCTTCATCAACTGTAGGCATCCTTCAGTCTCGAGAGACTATGGTAACGTGCTCTGAATTGAGGTCTTGGAACAGCATCTAGTGTGGCTCAGAAGGCCACTTCAAGAGTGACAGTCCCTTCCACACTGAAGACAAATACAATTTGTCTCCTGTCCAGCTCCCTGACCTTGCTGGTTTCAGGACTACCTCTTGGCCTTGGCCTGCTGAACAAGGGTCTCTTCAAATTGGGAGAGGCCATGATGCACTGCCTGCCTCCAGGCTATAGAAAGAGAAGAAAACCCCAATATATGCATTAGTACATACAGGCACATAGATTCTGAAGAAACCTAGGGGGCAGATTTTGCAATTGCAGAAGTTAGCATTTGGGGGAAATAGATTAAAATGGCATAGAAAAATGCTTCTGAAATGTAACTGGTCAATTTTATAACTTTTTTCAGCCCATCAACAATGCTGACTTCATAGTGCCTGTTGAAATAGAGGGGACAACCCATCAGGTAAGCCTGTTGTTCTTACCGCAGGAGTTCTTATTTGCTGACTTGCAGGTTAGGAGGTCTCCTCGGCACCTATTGTGAAAATGGTTGATTTGGCCTTCTTTGTGTCCCAAGAGGACATCTTCTGTTGAGCTCTCTGCAAAGAAGGGAAAGAAGACCACTCTGTGAAGGCTTCGGCCTGGTTCAAGTAATCCAGGATAGGCTGTTACTAGTCAGCGCGGCCTATTCTTGATTACTTGTTTCAGGAGGTGGCCCCTTGTCAAGGAGGGAACATGGAGCAATTGGACGGCCAGCAGGAGCCTCCGAAGACAGAAATGCAGCCCAAAGGAAGAAGATAGTGGAGATCTCCGAGGAATGTCGAAGTCCACTGAATTGTTTGGCTCGGCTGCCTTGTTTGTGGGATGCCTGTGGCTGCTCTGGATCTGCTGCCTTTAAAATGCTTTAGGATTCATTAAGCTGCTCTAAAGGGGAGCCGTTTCTTTCACTGTCACACAGGGCATTATTCTTCTATTGGGCCTTGTCATATTTCTCTTCACTCCGGCTAAAAAGAACCATGGCTGTGGTGAGAAAGCTGTGTAAAAGGCCAAACAACAGAAACATTTACTTTAATGTTCAAAATGCTGGTCCTGAAGGGGCTGCCATCTTAAATTCTCAGGAAGCAGCTATTTGGTACAGCTTTCTCCATCATAAAAACCCTACCCATGTGTCTAGTTCTCTGGAATGGATAGCTAACGGCAATGGAAAGTGGAATACTGAGGCCCCCCCGCCCCCCAAAAAAGGATTAAGTCCAATAGGACCCACAATCTGATTACTCAGCAACCTATCCCTCCTTTCTTACCTTTTGAGTCTCCTTCACAAGTGATACAGAATAGATTCTGAAATCATTGCTTGGATTCCCCCACACATCCGAGTCTGGTGGTACCATATTTACTCGGTGTATAGAGTAGTATTTCTCCAAATGAATAAAATTCTGCCATTTATCCTGAGCTGTTAGCTGGGGTAACATGCTCCATTCACCGATATAGGCCTCCAGCTTCCTGTTGATGTCTTTGTACATCCTTCTATTTATAATATTCAGATGTCTCTTCCACTGAGGTGGAGAAACCACAGCCCTCCAGAGGGGGTGCGTAACTGAAACTCCAGTCAGATCTGACCGTTTTACTGTCCTCCTGGGAGATGATGGGAGTTGGAGTTCTCCAAAGCCATGGGTTGTCTCCTCAAAGCTGCTGTAATAATAATAATACCAATGCAGGCCAGAATTGCTGACCTCACACTCCAGCCCAATCGGAGGCACAAAGGAAGCCCTTACGGCTTGGTTAAGGGAAAGCAGCCTGGCCAGAGGGTTAATGGGAGAAAAACAATGGGCCAGGGGAAGCATCCCCTTTCCCTGTCCTGGCCGCTCCCTTGTCAGTGCCTGAGTCTAGTTGTTTGCTTGAGCAGCCAATTCAGCCCGACTATAAGTTGGGTTCTCAGTACGAGTCAAGCTTCTCTGCCGGATTCTTCCTCACCTCTGCTGCTCACCCCGCAGGTGTATGTGCTGAAGAGGCCGTTTGTAGATGAGTTCCTGAGGCGGATGGGGGAACTGTTTGAGTGTGTCCTCTTCACTGCCAGCCTGGCTAAGGTGAGAAGGAGAAGGTTGGCCATGGACTCAAGGGTGGGGAGGGAGGAGGTCTTCTGGTCACTCACAATGTCGGAGGCAAATAAAGGGTTGTTTCAGACTAACTTTAAGCTCTTAGGGATTGCTAGATCTTTTCAGTCTAGGTGCTCTTCATGCATGAAAAAGAAGGTAGCGTTCAACACCGAGAAATGCCAGATGTTGTTTGAGGATTAAATTAAGCAAAATATTTTTACTTAAATTTGCTGCTGTTGTACAGCTTATTTTGCTTTTCCCGGCCACGAAAAGGAGCGAAGGAACCATGCAGAAAACTAAAATTCCCATCACCTGTCTGCTAGGCGTTCTGCCCAAGCCTGGTTTGGTTCCTGAGAAAGTGAGATAGCAAAGTGCAACTTGGCAGCTATGTTTTATTTCCCTCTCCCCCGGTTGGATCCATGCAGTTCAGCAGCTTCTGCTGGAATCTGATGACATCCACCAAGCTTCCGATTGCCAATTGTGGTGGTTCACTAGGGTGAAGTAAAATGCAGAAGTATTGCTTGCTTTGCCCTGCTCCACCCAGATACACTTGGAGACTGCTGAGCGAAACATCTCTAGAAGGAGATGTATCCTTTCTAGAAGGAGAGGACAAAAACTGGGTTTTGTCCTGCTGCTGAATTTCAGAGATTTACTTTTGCTGGCTGTGGCAGCCATGTTATAGAGTGGTATTGACCTGTAAAAACAGCTAAGGGGTTACATGCAGACTTGTGAACCTGGCCATTGCCCACTTGACTGTAAGAAATCATTAGCCCCTTTTCAGCTTTCTTTCCATATCTATAAAATCTCCCAACTTTGTTTGAAGAGGATAGTAGTAGAGTCTACGGCAGATGTATACGTTGGTAGGATATAGCCATGGATGGCTATAATTCATAGACTTGGTTTTCTGATTTTCCTCATTAGATTGGGGGGGGGCTTGTATGCTGAAGCCTAATTTAATAGCCTTGCATAATACTATCATATGTCATTCGGTCCAGTATGCTGACCCAGTTACTGACCTGCTGGATAAGTGTGGTGTCTTCCGAGCCCGTCTCTTCCGGGAGTCATGTGTGTTCCACCAAGGCTGTTACGTTAAGGATCTCAGTCGCTTGGGTCGTGATTTGCGGAAAACCCTGATCCTGGACAATTCTCCTGCCTCCTACATCTTCCATCCGGAGAATGCGGTGAGCATTACTTTGGGGCTCTACAAGTGATTTGGGAGATGGATTTATCTGTTGATGTACCTAACAGTTGAGCTGTATTTATGTATGTATTTAGGCCTTGCTGTGTTGCTGGAAAGAATCACAGAATGGTTTATATATTAGTGAAGAAGATAAGACAGTCCCTGCCCTCTGGCTTATAATCTTAAAAAGAAGCAACCTCAAAGGAGAGGGGAGGGAAGCCTTTTTTTTTTAAATCATAAAGATTTTAACCTTTGAAAGATAGAAAAGCCTTTTTCACCTAGCTTTAGTGAGAGATTGGGAACAACAACAGGTGACTGGCACTTTCTTGAAAGTATGTGCCAGGTAGTCACCTTAGAAAAAGAAATGTTTTCTCCTTGTGCCAACAGACCATGGGTCTTCTAATAAGTGATAGGCTCCTAGGAAGAATGTGCTACAGGGGTGGTAAACGTGGGACTCTCCAGCTGTTGCTGAACTGGCAGATGCTGTGATTTCTTCCCATTAGCTGGCTAGGGCTGCATTGCACTCCCAACATCTGGAGAACCACGTGCATTTCCACCTCGGCTGTACCTTCTCTTCTTCTCATAACTTCAGGCCCATATAGTTCTCAGTCCTCTCAAGCTCCTTCTTTAGTTTCGAAAGACTTCTCTAATCCTTCCAGGTAGAGTGTATCTCTTCGGGGTTGGGGTGACTAAAGCTACGTATACTTATAAAATAGTGATGGGACTTAGTGGTGGTAATTGAAATAATAAGTACTTAACAAACTGAGTCTTTGCTAATACACTCTACAATTTAGATGTTGCACATTGGGTTTGAAAATGAAATCTGGTATTCGGACTGTCTTTTGGCTATATTCCTGGAAACATTCATTTCCCAACAGCTCCTTTAGACACCCATGTTGCTTTCTAGTGGATGTATGAGGGCCAATCTGTCTCGTATTACAGTATTTTTAAGGTGTGTGTTGGGGGGTGGTATATCACAAAGTCAAGACATTTGTACAACTAGGGCTAGTACTGTTCTTAACCTCAGACATAACATTGTGAGTATGAAATTGCTAGTTATTTGTTAAGGAGGTAATTTTACTGCAAGGAAGCAGAACAGACACTTTTTTCCCAGCTCAGGTGTCAAAGTAACTTGATTAGTCTATGGTACTAAGTACTTTGAATTATGGGAAGGGGCCATGATTTGCTCATGCGCCTCAGGCAGAGAAATGCCCTGGGCCAGCTCTGACTGCAGTGGTTTTCAATTCACACCCAAGTCCCTAGCTTAAAGTGTTCCGTCCTCGTTTAGCATCCGCATGCCTCCCCGGGGGCTTCTAATTGACGTCCTTTTGTCCTTCTATCCTCCCTGCAGGTACCTGTCCAATCTTGGTTTGACGACATGGCGGATACCGAGCTGCTGAACCTGATTCCGATCTTTGAGGAGCTGAGCGAAGCAGAGGATGTTTATACCAGCCTTGGTCAGCTGAGGGCGCCCTAAAGGGTCCTCCTAGCACTATGCCTACATGGGAACTTTTTCACTCAGTGCCTTCAGTATTGGCCAAGAGGAAGGGAGAGGAACAGCCCAGTTGTTCCTTCCAACCTTACTCCAAGGCAGATGCAAGCACTTTGGAGGCAATAACCTGCCTGGCCCCCCACCCGCTGCCCCGCCACTGGGCAGTGCCAGAGCAGTTTACAAGCAGGGTATGTGGCTGGATGCCAGATCCTCTGGCTTTTCTGCCAAATGCAGGGACATCCAAGAACAGACACCCCATCCCCAATAGCGCTCGTACCTATGCACTACAGGGACCCAGGTGGCATGAAGAGGGCAGCACCGTTTCCCCACAGGCCTGTTTCCTCCAGCCGCTTCCATTTGCTGCAGGGAAATTAGCCCTCTGGGTCCTGTCTTGGCAGTTCACGCTGCCTCCCTCCTTTTTGCAACCTAAAGCAATGCCAAATGATTTGGCGGAATTCAGAAGAAGTTGAACGAGGGGAAAAAAACAATCATCACCATGACATATGCTTCCCATTCCCCCCCCCCTTTTTTTTGGATGGCCATGGGACCTAGCAGGTTTGGGCTGGGTTCTGAAGGGAGGACAGGGATTCACTCAAAAGTACCTCCGCTTGGCTCATGTGTTCCTACGTGTCTTTTCACAAGTGTCTTCAAGTGAGACCCTGTCCTTAAACTGTTCAAAAGACCAGGGACTTTTTTTTTTGGTAGAAGAGGCTCTTCTTTGCCTTTGACACAGAACGATAACAACACCTGGCTAGAAAGAGATGAAAGCACTCCATTTTGTGAGGCCTCCTGTGTTCTCCTGCCTTCAGCATTTCCCCGTTAGAGCAGTCCAGCCTATGCTTTCAAAGGTCTTTCGTGCTTGTTTTTCCTGTTGGCTTTTGGGAAGCCGTTAACATCCTTTCATGCCCTGTCTTGTGACTAGAATGTGCCTGTAGGTGAAATATATGGCTCAAAGGGAAACATGCCCTAGCAGAACCGCACCCCCCCCCCGCACCTAATATATGTGACATACTGTAGGCAAGGACTAGGTCAGCCAGCCCATCCAAACTTCAAGACTCCATATTGGTTTAAGACCAGCACTGCAGATGTTTCTGTATTTCTCCACTCAGGCCTCATATTCTTTTTGGGGGGATGGGGAAGGAAACCTTTTGCTTTACTTTTTTAGCCAGTTGGGAAGCCACATTTATAGGGAAGCCTTAGGACTATTGATTTTCCACCTTTTTTTCAAAAGGATGTGATGGTTGCCCACCTCCCTGTCTTCACCGCCCTTGAGGGTATCCAGGCCACCCAAGACATAACTTGGTTTTCCACTCGGGGCTCATACTAGGCCCTCATAACGTCATAACTTGAAAGCCTGGCCCTGCAGGTGGCCTCAAGGTATGGTAGACTTAACAGACTAGGAGGAGAAAGAGGGTGCTCCACACAGGCACACATGGCCTGCTCCTTGTCCATTGACTTGTGTTCTTGTGTAACAAAGGGGTCTCCATAGTCCTGCCTTCACTCTTCTGCACCCTACCAGCTGCTTATGACCACCAGGGACTGTGCGCCCACCCTCGGTGCAGTCTGTGGGCCAGCCTACATCCATCATCATATCAGGTGGCTTCAGCCAGCTCTGAGAAACCAAAACTTAGACCGAGGGTTTTGTTGCTTTTTCTATTTCATGGAGCTGTAACAGCCATTGTTTCTCCTCCCCTCCTCCTCGGCCACTTCCTTTCCCCCTCCTGAGCAGTCTGGTACGCTGGCCTTCCTCGTTGTGTCTGAACATGCTGTGAACAAGTGCTCACCCAGCCCCCGTTGGGGCACAATCAAAGGGAATTAACGAAGCCACCTTTCTTTTCTCCCTTTCCTTCCCCTAACCAGTGAAGTGACTTCATGTTTTTTTCTGTTAGAGTTGGGAGGGATAGAGAGACTCTTCAAAATGCTCTTTTGGCATTTTTATTTCTGGTGCTACTGCTGTGACCCTGGATTCAGGGTGTGAGTGTTCGGTCATCTCATCATCTCAGGTGTGGGAAGCCCCCAAAGGACCAAAGTTTCCAAGCCTTGCTGTTGGTTGGGTGAGTGGGCAGCTCTGAACCAGACTGAAGTGTGGGTTGAAATGCCGCCATTCTTTGAAGTGTGTCGGAGAGGTAATAGTTGACCCGAGTGAATCATTGTCTTGTGTGTCTTTGTGGACTAGGCTTCAACCAGATACTCCAGAGGTATCTGCTTCTCTCCTCATTGCCCTCCCTTCCCATAGGAGCCCTCGTTGCCTCAGCTGCTGAGGGTCTACACCTCTGTAGTGGCAGAGAGCAGATCTTCAGCTTTGTAGAGAGGAGAGTTGGGATGTTTTTTCCACACAGCTGTTGTTTCTCTCCAGCACAAAAAGCAACCAGAGCCTTAAATGTTTCAAAGTTAATGGAGGCTAGAAAAAACCAAAACGTCTTTGTTTTTCCTTCCTGGAAGGAAGACCGCTTTGTCTTTGCCTTTTGTCCACTGAGAAATCACCCACCACCCAACCTCACAGATTATGCCAGCAGCTTTCTAGGTCCTTTCTTCAAAATGAAACTAGCCCCATTTTTTTTACATTGATTTGTTACATTTATATCCCACTTTTTTTCCAACACACTGAAGACTGTGTAGAGAGCACTTTTCTCCATGTTGTGTCATCCCAACAGCCTTGTGAGGTTGGTCAGTCTCAGTATAATTGCTCCTAGTTACTCAGCTGTTCTCCATTTCAGAATCCTCCACCTAATGGGAAAACATTTTTTAAAGTAACAATGACACTCCTTTTTTCTACACTTTCTCGAGGCTGGCAAAAAATGCGCTCTACACACAGTTATTCCAGAATTTCTCTTTAGCTCAAAAGTTGGGACTAAGGGAAGAGTCAGAGATCAATCTCATTTCGCTTGAAGGAGCCCAGCACATATGCTCCCCGGTTTTAACACACCATGGAAATTTGTTCAAAGTAATGTGGAACTGGACTCCGTTGAATGAGATAATTCCATTCTGGTGAGGGAAAGGAGGGAAATTGGTTAGGTGAACTCCCTTTCATAGAATATCTGCTATATTGCCCAGGAATGCACACTCCCACTCTGAGGTCAGACATAGCTAATTCTCGTTTACTAGCCATAAATGATACCTCGGTCCCTTTGCCAATGTTGGGATTGTGCCTTTATCAAACCCAACTGACGGTGAGTTTAAAATGCCAGCCAAGAGGAAATCCTTGCTCTTAACCAGATTATGCCTTTTTGGGGTGCCCTACATACCTCTTACAGTACATTAAAATCATTATCCAGAGAGACATTTTTTGTGCCTCTTGCATTAAGTTCTGTTCTGCTTCCCTTTCATGTAGGGAGTGGTGGCTCATATTTTTCAAGTAATGACAGCCTTGTTTTCCCCCTTTGTCTTATCCCCCCCTCCCCATGAATTGTAAAACATTGGTTGCCTTTGTCACATGTCTGCATGTGCTGGGTTTTTCTGTCTTTGTTTCAATTTTGTTTTAATAGGAAAAAAAAAAACAAATCCCAAAACTTGAAGCCGGCATTGTTGCCGTTTCGATCTTGTTCTATTTTTGAAATCTTTGTATTAACTGCAATTAAAGGAATAAAAAAAGCGAGTGAACGGAATAGCTGTCTTTTGGACTCATTAGATTTTTGGAGAGTGGACTGGGCTCTGAATGCAGGACAGAGACTTTTGTAACTGAGCAAAAGTCATTGTCGTCTATGCAATAAAATGTCTCCCCTTGCAGTGAAGAGACACACAGTTCACAACTCCTGCCTACTTGTTCGAACATGATCGACATCAGGGTCAACCAAGACTTGTGTATGGAAATACAGTGGTGCCTCGCAAGATGATTGCCTCATGGGACGATTAATCTGCAAGACGATTGGTTTTTGCAATCGCTGTGGCACTTCGCAAGACGATGTTTTCTATGGACGATTTTCGCAAGACGACGATTTTTCCCCATTGGAACACATTAAATAGATTTCAATGCATTCCAATGGGGAACCACGTTTCACAAGACAATGTTTTGTATGGAAGATTTTCTCAAGACGATTTTTTCCCCATTGGAACGCATTAATTAGATTTCAGTGCATTCCAGTGGGGAACCGCATTTCGCAAGATGATGTTTTCACAAGACGTTTTTCACCGAAGGAATTAACATCACCATTGTAAGTTATTTTAGAGAGAGCTTGGGATGTCACTGAGGAGAACTGCAGACATGAATATCTTCTTGGCTTGATTTGCTCATTAATCTGTCAGTTTTTATGATTGGTAAGCAAGTGCTTGATCAAGTAAAACCCTGTCACTAGAAGAAAAATTAATCAATGGAGCCTATCCTACTATGCACATATAATAGAAATACAGACGTGACCAAAATAAACTATATTGCCAGGACAAGTGGGGCAGACTATTTGTTGACAACACCAATCGCAGCTGTCAGGATGGTCTAAAATGGAAGTAGTTTCCAAACATGTTCAAGCTCATGGTTCCCTTGATTTACTGGCAACTGGCTGTAGGTCCCCAATAGGATACTTCGGGTAAAGAGGAGAGAAGGGGGGGTGAAGCCTGAGTAGTACATTTTTAATCCCTGAAAATAATTTAGAATTAAAGGATGCAATAAATAACATTATAACAGAATTGCAAGAATTAAGAGCCTTGAGGGCACATTAGCACTGGAATTGGTTAATTACACGCAGGTAATTGTGTATTACACAAACATTATGCACTTTGCTCCCCAGCAAGGAGCTGTAATCAATAGATGGGAGAGAGAAGAACACTAAAGGAATCCAAGAAAGGAAAAAGAATCTTAAGACCAAACAAGTCTCTCAGCAGATTTAGGATTCCCATGATTAAACTTTAGACTATTTGAGTTGGCCAACGGGGAGGAGAAGGATGGAGGGGAAATGGGGAAGACAATATTACTGAAGTCCCCGATCCAGACATTTTTCTTTCCCCTTGCATCAACTCCAATCCCCGACTCCCAAGGAGCTGGAAAAGAAAGGCACCTACCAACAGTCTGATTGTCTATGAAGTCACATTGCAAGGCAAACAGAACCAGAAAGGAAACCGGCTACCTGGGAGAGATGTACACTTCACATAGCAATTCTCCTGTCCTCATTTCCTCTTCTATCACATATCTTTTCCTCCAGCTACTGGTTCTCCTCACCCTTCAAGGTAACTGGGGTCTTGCTAATAAAGAGATGAACCTATATATTTAAGCCCTTTGCTTGCTGGTTACTAACATCCTACCATACACATCCTAAGCCGCCTCTGGACCCTCAGAAAGTTTGCACCCCAGACCTATTGCAAGGCACCCACCAGGACTGCTGCAGCAGTGGCAGCTGTAATTCCTCCTGGATAGCAACGACAATGATTTATTCTTTCCATCTGAACGTGTGTAAGCGATTGCTGCGGGATGGCTCTGAGGTCACTAGGCAGGCATCCACTCCGGATTGGCTGGTGCAAGAATGGAGGAGCAGAGATAGAAGGAGCTGGCGAGTGATGTCATGCCAGGCTCTCTCCTGGAGTGAAAAATGGGAGGACCTTCCTGTACTCTTGGCAGGTAGAGGTGGAAAGAAAAGTACGTATAGGCCCTTAACTAAAGAAGGCCTAAGGAATATGAGAGGATTTCACGGTGCCCCTGGCTGAGTCTGACAGTACTCCAGGATGTCACAGCACACAGTTTGGGATCCACCAGGATACCCTCTTCTGCTCACTACCATTCATACTTGTTGAAAAACAGCCCTGAGTATTGTGTTATGCTTGGGCAGGAAGTGGTTAAGTGATAAAAAAGAGAGTCAGCTTCTGAGATTTTTCTCTTGTATGGTGTCGCTTTGTGAACTGTAATGAGCAGAACATTCAGAATAGTCAACATTCAGGCTGCCCTTTACTGTGTAAAGCTTGGCATTCATTTTCCTGCTGGCAATGTGCGCATGATATTGTGCAGCAATACTGGGCCATTTCTTGGCTTTTTGAACCATGGACACAGAAGCACCATATCCCACATTCAAAAACTGGAGGTTTTTGGAGAAGTTAATAAATCTTATAGTGCTCTGAGAACTTGGTGTGTCGTACACTTGACCTTGACAAATTAATGTCATTGAGAGCATTAAGATTTCAGCTGCTAATTAAATTCTTGTGTCGATCCATCTACCTCAAACATTTAGATGCCACACAGTTGCTCTGGAATTACATAGCCCACATGAACAACACATGCCCCACACATCTGGAAAGCACCAGGTAGGGGAGGGCTGCCATAAGCA